AGTAAAATATCAAACTGGTAACACAGCTTGGGCACACAGTCACATCAGCTGCTCTCATCATCACCATTATCATGTGCCCTTGCTCCATGAATGAAGAGGATGCAGCAGCCTCCCAAGGGCCAAGTGCAACAAATTCTTTGGCACCCTTGCTGGGGACTGGTGGTACAGGGAGAGGAGCCAGCACAGAGTTGTGGTGGTCAGAAAGTGCTCAGTTCATCTGCCAGATCAGCAGCAGGCAAGTGCAGACTGCTGTGAGGAGGAAGAGGAGGAGGAGAGAAGGAAAGCAACCATGAGGAGAATGGAGAGTTTCCAGCAAAACAATTTTAAGCAGGGTGTGGAGAGGATTCCCCATATCCCTGTTTCTAGAGAAGGCAGGTCACTAGAGAGTGTTTGGATTTGGTGAACCTCTGCAAGATTTGTCTCCATCCAGGGAACTGATATACAGTTCAGGGGGCCATCTGAATCCCAGGACATATACAGTTCAGGGGGACATCTGAATCCCAGGACACCTCCCAGAATCTTGCTGGAAGCAGCTCCTGTACCCTGGAACACACACTGCCTGCTGATGGTGAAAGCTCAAGGATTCAGGATAGCATGTAGACCAATCTTAGGACACAGGCTCCAAGTCTGTGTGCTACACTCATCTGGTCTCCAGAAGCAGCCCAGTCAGACACTTCAAGCCTATTAGGCACCACATGTGCTTTTGCCCTGGGGACCTTGTATGCATCCTCAATATTGGCTGAAACAGGTGGTGCCCATGTGTAGCAGGAGCTATGTGGTACATAAGGGACTTGAACTGTTGGACAGAGAGGCTAGTGAGGGTAYAGGATAGAAAGATGGGGGTTGGTGAGAAGGTTACAGAGAAGGTTGGGTGAAAGCAGGAAATGAAGATAGGTTTGTGGTTTTTGCACTTCTCCTAGCAAGATAAACACTGAATGCCTTTTTGAGGAAGAAAGATGTGCTATCACTACAGGAAGGGTGGCCCCAAGTTTGTGATTGGAGGATGTGTGTCCCCAATGGCCAAGCTGTCTTCAGTTTGGAAGACAGTTGTTTCTTGGAAATTTCACTGCCAGTTATTATGGGAGCAGATCAAGAGGAATACCAAGGAAGAGGCAGGGGCAGCAGGCGACTCCAGGACCAAGCCATGGGGGTCCTCAGATGTTGATGACCATCATCTGGGGAACACTGGATAGCAAGTAAGCCCCCATTTCCACCCACCCCTGCACCTGAGCGTGTTAAGTGGCCTGTAAACCTATAACTCAGCCTGAGTTTAACTTCTCAGAATATTCCTTTTTTTCTTTTACTTTCTTCCTTTCTTTTCTTCTTTCTTTGCTTTTCTTTTTTTTTTCTTTCAAACTGGTGACTGAGCCCTGGGGCACTCAACCACTGAGTCACATCCCCAGCCCTATTTTGTATTTTATTTAGATATAGGGTCTCACTGAGTTGCTTAGCACCTTGCATTTGCTGAGGCTGGCTTTGATCCTCCTGCCTCAGCCTCCTAAGCCACTGGGATTACAGGYGTGCATCACCACGCTTGGCTTTATACCCAGTTCTTGAGGTTAATACTACTGACAGGAACAGAATATATTCAATAGGTATTGAGTTCAGCGTGACCCTATGGGGTTGTGTTAGTTAGCTCTTTGTTGCTGTGACAATATACTGGAGAAAATTATTTAAAAACAAGAAAATATTTATTTTGGTTCATGGTTTCAGAGATTTCATTTCATAGTYACTTGGCCCTATCACATTGGTCCTGTGGGAAGCAGAACTTCATGGTAGAAKCAAAGGCAGAAGAGAATGTGCTCAGGAAGCAGAGTCAGAGAGAAAGAGAGAAATGCTATTTTCAAGTATTTATTTATTTATTTATTAGTACCAGGGATTTAACCCAGGGGTACTGTCCCACTGAGCCACATCTACAACCCCTTTTTTTTAAAAAAATTTATTTTTTGTTTAGACATAATACCTTTATTTTGCTTATTTAATTATTTTTATGTGGTGTTGAGGGCCTTGCACATGCTAGGCGAGCACTCTACCACTGAGCCACAACCCCAGCACCCCCCCAACCCTTTTTATTTGTTATTTTTGAGACCTGGTATTGCTAAATTGATTAGGGTCTCACTAAGTTGTCAAGGCTGACCTAGAACCTGCAATGCTCCTGCCTAAGACTCCCTTTCTGCCCCTATTCCGTGGAATTACAGGTGTGCTGCCATCACATCCGGACTTTCCATCATATTCTTGCAATATACTGGAAATCAGCATAGTGGTTAGATCTGCTACAACAAGAAGTTGAAGAAGAAACCTCTTTCTACCACTGACTTGTCTGCCTTTCTCTTGTTTCAATATAGTATAGGTGAGCAATTGGAGAAGTTGCTCACTTATCCCTTCATAGTGGCAAAATTTTCTATCCTAGGCCTGCCTCAATAGCCCCAGCAGTTGGAAGCTGAGAGTATGGCATGTTCCAAGGCCCTTTGGTGGAAGGCAATATAACTGACACAGACAGAGTTTAGAATGCAAAGGGTTTGTAATGTTTGCTGAGTTTGGAGAGGCTGGAGGGAAGTGATTCCTCAGGACTTGAAAGCCAAAGGAAATATTTTGGTATAGTCTAAGAGCAATGGGAATCTGCAAAAGAATTTTAGGCAGGAGGATGACCCTTTTTTATTTGCTTGCTTGTTTGTTATTGGTGCTGGGATGCAACTCAGGGGTTAAGCATGTGCTCTACTACTGAGCTATACTCCCATCGCTTAAATTAGATTTTTAAAAGAGGGATAGGTAGTAAGGTGCAGTGGCACATACCTATAATCCAGCAGCTTGGGAGGTTGAGAGAGGAGGATTGTAAGTTCAAAGCCAGTCTCACCAACCTAGTGAGATTCTGTCTCTAAAGAAAAAAGAAAGAAAGAAAGAAAGAAAGAAAGAAAGAAAGAAAGAAAGAAAGAAAGAGAGAAAGGAAAGAAAGAAAGAAAGAAAGAAAGAAAGAAAGAAAGAAAGAAGGAAAGAAGGAAAGAAAGAAAATATATAATATATATGTATATGGGCTTTGGATATGTGGCTCAGTGTTAAAGCACCCCTGGGTTTAATCCCTGGTACGAAGAAGAAGAAAAATGAGAAGAAGAAGGAGAAGGAGAACAAGAAAAGAAAAAAAGAAATGGTATGGCTTTTCTGTGGGAAATGGAATTGAGGCAAGGAGACCACTAGGAAGAGAGCAATAAAGATGGCCTAAACTGGGGGAAAAGGAGAAGGTACAGAGAAGGGGCACTTGGGAGATATTTCAATGTTGAGGCAATAGGATGTGTTTGAGCATGGGGATTGAACCCAGGGGTACTCTACCACTGAACTACACCCAAGCCCTTCATATTTTTTAATTTAAGATGAAATATTGCTAAGTTGCAGAGGCTGACTTTGAATTTACCATTCTCCTGCCTTAACCTCCTCAGTAGCTAGGACTACAGGCATGCACCACCATGCCCCTGAACCAGCAGGATTAGGAAATGCTATGATTGGTTAAAGGGGAGATAGTGAGGAGGCAACAGAGATTAACACTTAGGGTCAGCTCTGGAGTCAGGCCCTGCACAATTGATTGGCATTCCTCCTAGACAGGAGGCACTGGGAAACATCAAGTGCATAGTACCTAAAACACCTCCACCTTGGAAACACTTCCTCCTGGTAGCTTGGAACCTCCACCTCTTAGGAGAAGTTTACTCGTTTCCTTTTTAGAGGGCCTTCTTGCATCAGTCTTCATGCACTGATCACCTGAGAATGTTTCAAAAAATGGAGCAACTCCAGAGAGTGTCAGTATTTAGAGCAGAATCTTGAGAGTCTGAGGGCAAGGAACAGGAGAAGGTCTTTGGGGATGGAGTTTGGACCAAGCTCTCAAGTGATGGGATTTCAACAAGAATGCACACCGCTTTGACATGTGTGTGTCTGTGCACATGTATATAGCTGGAAGCTTCCTGGAGGAAGCAGCCTGGGTGAGGAACCAGGGTAGAAATAGGGTGGGGCTCTCGAAGAGAACTAAGCAGAACCATTAAAACCTCAAGATAAAACTGGGGTAGACACAGATYCCATGTGCCAGGCTTTCCCTTAGGACTCATGCTTTCAACCTGACTTCCTCATTCAGGTAGGAGGGATCCTGGCCAGCAGGTCAGCCAGCAGCTCTTGAAGGAAGGTGCTGGAGTGGGAGCTCTGCTGCCTTGGAAATTACTTCATTTCCTTCCGTCCAAATAGCTGAGTCCCAGACCCACCCTAGATGCTTGCTTAGTCCTCATCCCAAATGTACCTCCCTATGAGTCCTGGGCAGGTACAAAAATCTCCTTAGGAGGAAGCCCTTTCCTGAAGCTGCATGAGAATAATAGGGAGGGATGTTCCTGATAGTTCTCAGTTGCTGGCTACAGTCCCCAGGGGATGGACCTGGGGTTATGATTGGTAGGGAAGAGAGATCCAGAGACTACCTATCTCCTTCCCTACACACCACCTACCTGACCCAGCACTGGAAATCACAGAGACACATCCAGCATTCCAGGTGTCCTAGGAAGGGTGCAGGCGGTAGCTGATGCACTGTGGACTCTAAAGATCTCTATGGGGACGCTCTCTGGGAGAACTACCCCAGTYTCTGCTTAGAGAGTAAGCCCTAGAGGCAATAGGGGTGCTGTCAACCCTTCTGGGTCAACCCTTGGGAGGAGTGCAGTGTCAGGTAGCAGTGAGGGACTTAGGAAGACTGCGATGGGAGGCAAGTAGGTGAACAGGTCCTCCTAGCCCTCGGGGGCGCCCTTTGCCGGGGGTGGGGGTGAGGGGAGGGAGGTGGCAGGGCTGGAAGGCAGTGGAGGCCCCTGGCGGTTGTGCTGCCACTTGGTGATATTCCGTGTCGCCATCTCGGAGTCTCTTGACTCAAATTCCACTCCTCGAGGGGCCACGACGCTGGTTGGCCTGAATCAAAGAGTCGAGACCCAATCGTCGCCTTTTCCCTCTCTCAGGCTCTTGAGATGGTCACCTCTGCTTTGCGCAACATGCAGCCTGAGGGCCTCGAGGGTCCCCACGTGCTCTGCCCRTGGCCTCTGCTGCGTTCGTTTTTTCTGCCCCTGCTGCTGCTGSTGYTGCCACCAAACCCTGTAACCAGCACTGAGATCACTCCCGGTACCACCGACACCCCGACCACTCTAGACGCCCCCAACTCTGGGACCACGCCAGTCACCCCCAGCACCCCAGGCCTGCGAGAGCGCGCGCTGGCCCTAATGCGGGACTTCCCGCTGGTGGACGGGTAAGTAWGTGCCGCATGGGGGCGAGTGGGGCAGAGCGCACCCCTAGGCCAGGAAAGGTTCCGAGCATGCAAGGTTAGCGAGGAGGCCCCCTCACACCTAATGTGGATGCCCACTCTCCAACTTTTCTGAGTGCCCTGCTCTCCTCTACCATTCCCCCTCTGGTGAGAAACCCCCAGCCCAGGCCTCAAGAGACCTCAATATAGTCTGGTAGGGTGAAGGACACCCCCTCCTCCAGATCCCTGCCTTGCCTGGAAGCCTAAAGGGCCCACCCATCTGTCCCTGACCTGACCTTGCCTTTATGTCCCTCCAGCCACAACGATCTGCCCCTGATCCTGAGGCAGTTTCACAAGAATGGACTAAAGGATGTCAACCTGCACAATTTCAGTGATGGCCAGACCAGCCTGGACAGGCTTAGAGATGGCCTCGTGGGTGCTCAGGTATCACAGGGACACTCAGGCTACCACAGCATGGCTTGTGGGACTTTGGGGAGGAGAGGCAGCTCCAGAGATCCCAAGTTTGTCATGTGGGTACTCAGTTACTATAGCAACTCAAGAAGTGCCATGATGCATGTTGGGTGGAGGGTTGTATATCTGTCATCCCAGCTACTGAGGAGGCTGAGGCAAGAGGATCACAAGTTCAAGGTCAGCATAAGCAACTTAGAGAGACCTGGTCTCAAAATAAAAAGTAAAAAGGACTGAGAATGTAGCTCAATGCTAAAGATCCCCTGGGTTTAATCTTCAATACCAGAACAAAAAAAAATGTTAAGATGTGGAGTCAGGGTCTGCAGGGACTACGGTGAGCCAGTTTGATTGGTATGAAGGTACCACAGAAGGACAGAAGGAACAGTGCATTCTGTGTGGCCTCTGGGCCCACCAAGTGTTGTGTTAGCCATGGAGGCCCAAGGAGCTCCAAAGTAGCCCTTGCCTAAACCAACCCCTGACCCTCCCCCCAGTTCTGGTCAGCCTATGTTCCATGCCAGACCCAAGACCAGGATGCTGTGCGTCTCACACTGGAGCAGATTGACCTCATTCATCGCATGTGTGCTTCCTATTCTGAGTTGGAGCTTGTGACCTCTGTGAAAGGTAGGTGAAGTAATAGGTGATGTTAGGGATTTGATTGAGCTACTTTAACTCCTAAAAGTAATCACCTGATCTCTCTCCCCSCAGCTCTGAACAGCACCAAGAAATTGGCCTGCCTCATTGGTGTGGAGGGTGGCCACTCACTGGACAACAGCCTCTCCATCTTGCGTACTTTCTATGTGCTGGGAGTACGCTACCTGACGCTCACCCACACCTGCAACACACCCTGGTAAGCACAGTACAGAYGGTAGAGGTCTGTCTTCCCCAGGTCACACCAAGAGTCCAGAGCAAACTTTACCCCAGGAGCTGGCATTGACCCTGGAATGGGGAGGGAAGCTGGTATCGTGGGGTTCACAGAGCAAGACTAGACCCCAGCAGGGCTCTCCCTCTGCCAGATACAACCCATCCTGGGTCCTTGGTTTTTCTTCAGGGAGTTGCAAGGTACAGAGTTTAGTAGAGGCTCTAGGTTCTTGTGACTGAAACATGGCCACCAGTCAGACTATCTCTTGGTAATCCTGCAGGGCAGAGAGCTCGTCTAAGGATATCCACTTCTTCTACAGCAATGTCAGCGGTCTAACCARCTTTGGTGAGGTAAGGACCCCAGTTCATACTCCACCCCACACAAATGTACATGCCCCATCTTTCCCTAAAGACAAATGCAGGCATGCATGCACCCTTGACACTTGCCTTCCTACCTGTACCTGCAGAAGGTGATAGCAGAAATGAATCGCTTGGGCATGATGGTAGACTTGTCTCATGTCTCTGACGCTGTGGCCCGGAAGGTTCTGGAATTGTCACGGGCACCTGTTATATTCTCCCACTCTGCTGCCAGGAGTGTGTGCAAGAGTGATCGGAATGTTCCTGATGATATTCTGCAGCTTCTGGTGAGAAACTACCCCGGCCCTGGAATCTAAAACAAGAGGTTTGAACCAGGAGCCCTTGATCCCTCAGATTCCTCAGACCCTGGGCTGAACCACAGACCCATAGTCCATAGCCCTTGAACTCTTGAACAGGGTGGGGGACTTTTAGGTCATAAATATTCCTTGACCCCTTAACCTCAGAGCCAAGACATGCCCACCCAAACCATGGCTAAGATTCTCCTATTCACAAAAACCAGAGAGGTGAAGTCTCCTCTGGTTTCTGAAGCCAGAGCTGGACATCTTCCTCATAGGGGCTAGAGGGTGGGCAGGCATGCTGTTGTGCCAGGGATCAAGCTGAGTGTCCATTTGACCATCCTTGCAGAAGAAGAATGGTGGCATTGTGATGGTGACCTTTTCTATAGGCGTGCTACAGTGCAACCTGTTAGCCAACGTGTCCACTGTAGCAGGTGAGTTTGCCCCCAACACTTCTAGGCTCTCTCTTTTTTGTGGGTGCTGGGGATAGAACCCCAGTGTACTTTACCATTGAGTTAYATCCCCAGTCCTTTTTTGTTTTTGAGACAGGATCTCACTAAATTGCTAAGGCTGACCTTAAACTTGCATGCCTCTGCTTCAGCRTGCAGAGTTGCTGGGATTACAGGCATGTGACATCACACCTTGTACTCCCCAGGTTCTCYAAACAGCTCTGATTTGGACCTGAGGCTCTGAGGGTACCTTGGCATGGCCCCAGTGGTTTGGCTAAAATTCCCCAATGTCTACCTTGGTGCTTTGAAGAACCACAGCCAGAGTCCATGCTGCTATGATGATGGATATAAGGGAGGTGGTCAGACATAGACCTAGGTGCCCACCATCTGCACATCTGAGGGATACCAAAACACCCTGTTCCTGCCTCTGCTTAGGTCTTCGGGATCTTTGTCAAGTGTTCTCTTTGTCCCTTTCTTATACTCCATACCCCTGGAAAGGTGCACCTAATAGGTTCTCAAGGAGACTAGAGGCAGGGTGAATCTAGATGAGAAATGGCCTAAATGGCTTCACTCAAAACCTGAAGTCCAATCTAGAGCCAGCTGGGATCAGTTGATAAAATCTCAGGGCCTTCAGGAACCTGTATACTACAAGTTAAAGACTACAAGAAGAGGATTAGCAGAGTCTAGCTCTATGGGCACCCCTGCCCTGGAAGCTTCACACTGCAGACTCTCTATCTCCCCAGATCACTTTGACCACATCAAGGCAGTCATTGGATCCAAGTTCATTGGGATTGGTGGAGACTATGATGGTGCCAGCCAGTGAGTACTTTCCAGTGGCTTTTCTGTGGGACCTTTACAGTCACTATGCCTACCACATCATGTTCCTCATGGCCTCTAGGCCTTGCCCACCTCACATCTACCCACTCTTCATTCCCAGGGTCTGCTTCCTGGACCCCACTGACTGTTTTCAGCCTAATGACCCTATTCTAAAGTGTCATATTTGGCTAAACTCCCAGACAGCTCATCTACTCAGCACATGCACCCACCCCCACCTCTACAAATCCACTCCCTCTGAGTGGACTATCAGCAAGGTCTCGCATGGGCTGGCCATCTTCTCTGCCCAGTTCTGGTTCTGGGAAGTTTTTCTTCTTTTTAAATGGAAGGGACACATGCAGATCTTTTTTTAAATTTTTATTTATTTTTTAGTTGGAGATGGACATAATACCTTTATTTTATTTATTTATTTTTATGTGGTGCTGAGGCTAGAACCCAGTGCCTCACACATGCTAGGCAAGCACTTTACCATTGAGCTACAACCCCAGCCCCAATCATACAAATCTTAATCACACAGTTCAGTGGGATTTGGCAAATACTCAAATATTCCTCTAAGGGATGAAGAGTGGGGCAAATCTCTGTTGCCAACTCCTCACTGCCCATATCTAATCAGAGCTGGGGTGCAGTGACCTAGGACACACAGGGCTAGGATTCTGAGGCCTTTCTGCTGGTGGCCACACAGATTCCCTCAGGGGCTGGAGGATGTGTCCACATACCCRCTGCTGATAGAGGAGTTGCTGAATCGGGGCTGGAGTGACGAAGAGCTTCAAGGTGTCCTTCGAGGAAATCTGCTACGGGTCTTTGGAGAAGTAGAACAGGTATGCTGAGCTGGGTAAGGAGTGGTCCAGGGTTCTGAAAATGTATTAGGGGGGTCTGGGGGAGTTGCTAACCACCAACTTCCATATCTAGGTACGGGAGGAAAGCAAGTGGCAAAGCCCCCTGGAGGACAGTATCCCAGATGAGCAGGTGGGCAGCCCATGCCGATCCATCCTCTCAAGACTGCATCAGAAACAATATCTGGCTCCAGACCAGAAACTAACCAAGATCCCCACACGTCAAACACCCAGATTATCACGCAAGTGGTCACTCTCAAAATCTTCCTCCTTCAAGGTCCCAGGCCTCACAGTTGTTGCCGCCTTCCCAGTCCTCATTCTATGGCTCTAGTGACCCAGTTAGTCCTGCCAGATTTTACTCTGGCAGCTTGGATACCCCAGAGCACCCCCACTTTGGGAAGGCACAAACATTTCCTGGAAATAAATATTTTGGACATGGAATCGCATGTGAGTGTCCTCTGTGGTAGAGTCTAGTGGCATAGGCTCCCTGGGCTGATAATCATTAGGGGACCCTGCATTTCAGTCACCAGTTGCTCAAGGAATGCCTGTTTGTAGTAGCCTGAGGTGACTGAGGGGGTTGAGCTCAGTACTAGATAGTGGGCAGATCTTGCTCAGGAGGGTGGACCCTATTCCAGGTTTCCTCTGAGTAGCTCATCTCTATCAACATGTGAATCCACTGACCACCCCTAGAGGATCTCTTAGGAAATTCTGCTTCAGATTCTCAAGAAGGGAACCGGCCTGGATCATGAATGATATTTGTTCCTCTTTGTACAGAGCTCCCAGTCCTCACAGACTTCCTTTCCAAAAGGCACTAGCATCTACCCCCTGATTACTCCCCAGGCCCTTAATGATAACTAATAGCAACTGTAATAATAAGAGCTAATACTAACAACTAATAGTGAATAATGTATGACGATAATAGAGAGTAATAAAAATAGTTACCATTGCTAGTAGCCTATGTAGACCTCATGACTGAGCAATTTTGCTCCAGATATATATTCAGCAGGAAAGAATGGATACATTCCTCCAAAAGGCATATGAATTTATATTTTTAGTAGCAGCATTCATTCAAACTGCATTTCAGAATCAAACTGTGAGGACCTGAACAGACACTTCACAGAATTAGACATACAATTGAACAAATATATGAAAAAATGTTCAACACGTCTAGCAATTAGAGAAATGCAAATCAAAACTACACTGAGATTTCATCTCACTCCAGTCAGAATGACAATTATTAAGAATACAAACTAGGGGCTGGGGTTGTGGCTCAGCGGTAGAGCACTCGCCCCGAATGTGCGAGGCCCTAGGTTTGATCCTCAGCACCACATAAAAATAAATAAAATAAAGGTATTGTGTCCAACTACAACTAAAAAAAAAAAAAAAGAATACAAACTATAGGGCTGGGTTGTAGCTCAGAGGTAGAGTTCTTGCCTAGTATGTGTGAGGGACTGGGTTTGATTTTCAACACCACATATAAGTAAATAAAAGTAAAGGTTCATCAACAACTAAAAAAAGTATTTAAAAAAAGAATACAAGCAATAATAAATGGTGGCAAGGAAGTAGGGAAAAGGGTATACTCATACACTGCAAACTAGTGTAACCACTAAGGAAAGCAATATGAAGATTCCTCAGAAAACTTGGAATGGAACCACCATTTGACTCAGTTATCCCATTCCCCAGTCTATACCCAAAGGACTTAAAATCAGCATACCACAGTGATGCAGCCACATCAATGTTTAGAGCAGCCCAATTCACAATAGCTAAACTATGGAACCAACCTAGGTGCCCTTCAACAGATGAATGGATATAGAAAATGTGGYGTATGTACACAGTGTAATATTACTTAGCCTTAAAGAAAAATGAAATTATTGCATTTGCTGGTAAATGGATGGTGCTGGAGAACATCATGCTAAGAAAATAAGTCGATCCCAAAGAACCAAAGGCTGGATGTTTTCTCTGATATGCGCGGATGCTAATTCACAATAAGGAGGGGATAGGGAAGAATAGAGGTATTTTAGATTAGACAGAGGGGARTGAAGGGAAGGGAGCCATTATGGAAGTAAGAAGAATAGCTGAATGAATCAGACATTATTATCCTATGTGCGTGTATGATTACACAATTGGTGTAATTTTACATCATATTCAATCAGAAGAATGAAAAATCATACTCCATTTATGTATGATGTGTCAAAATGTATTCTACTAGGGCTGGGCGTGGTTGCAGACGCCTATAATCCCAGCAGTTTGGGAGGCTGACAGGAGGATTGGGAGTTCAAAGCCAGCCTCAGCAACAGCGAGACACTAAACAACTCAGTTAGACCCTGTCTCTAAATGTAAAAAGGTTAAGGATGTGCCTCAGTGGTTAAGCACCCCTGGGTTCAATCCCCAGTACCAAAAAAAAAAAAAAAAAAAAAAAAAAGTAGTTGTTTTGTTGGGCATGGCAGGGCACACCTGTAATCCCAGTGATGCTGGAGATGCTGGGCTGAGGCAAGAGGATCCAAGTTTGAGATCAGTCTCAGCAATTTAGGGAGACACTGTCTCAAAATAAAAAATAAAAAAGGGCTGAGGATATATCTTAGTGATAGGGGGCTCCTGGGTTCAATCCCCAGTACCACAAAAAGAAAAAAGTATTTAAAAAAAATCACATTAACTTGAGAAGCAAAAAGAAAAGTGACTGGGAGTATAGCTCAGTGATGGAGCACTTGCCTAGCATGCATGGGTTCAATCCCCAATACTGCAAAAAAACAAATAAAACCTTGATAGCTGAATTTGCAACAGAAATAAAGGAAGCCCACASAAAGTAAACTATCTTTAACACAGAGAATGAAAGAAATTATTAATGTTCAATTCTATGTAAAAATATTCTTCAAAAAATGAAGGAAGCCAGGCATAGTGGCACACACCTGTAATCCCAGCACTCCAGAGACTGAGACAAGAGAATCACAAGTTCAAAGCCAGCCTCAGCAATGACAAGGAGCTAAGCAACTCAGTGAGACCCTGTCTCTAAATAAAATCCACAATGCCAAGAAAAAAAAAAAAAGGAAAATACACTGGTACATGATGCGTGTCCATAATTCCAGCTACTAGGAGGCTAAAGCAGGAGGACTTCAAGTTCCAGGCCAGTGCATGGTAATTTAGCAAGATCCTATTGAAAACAAAATTAAAAAGGGCTGGGGATGTAGCTCACTGGTAGCCCACCCCTGAGTTTACACAGAAGAATGTTTTGTACAGAAACAAAATTCAACTCTAAAGGCTACAATAACATGGTCTCCCATAAAAATCATTTGTTTGTTTGTTTGTTTATTACCGGAATTGAGCCCAGGGCTGCTTAATCACTGAATCACATCCCCAGTCCCTTTCTATATATTTTATTTAGAGGCAGGGACTCMACATGTTGCTGAGGCTGGCTCCTACCTCAGCCTCCCGAGCCTCTGGGATTACAGGCGCCTGCCACCGCACCCAGCTTCATTTTTATTTTTACAGTCTGTAGAGAATACAATGAAAACATACAGATCCAGGACTAGGGATGTATGTAACTCAGTGATGAAGACCAGCATCGTGAGGCCCTGGGTTCAGTCCCCTAGTACTGCAAAACAAACACCATACAGATCCAGTTCACTTTTCTGAGCAGCAGCATAGAATTTCATAGAATGTTTGACCCTCAAGGACAAGGCACAACCTGGCAGCTGAACCCCGACGTGGGTCTGGCTAGAGTTGAAATTAGGCCGATTCCTGGGTCCTTACCCAGTTCCCATATCGCTAGAGGAAGCCCTCCAGGCCCAGGGGGGCGCCCTCCTAGTTGGGGAGAGAGCGCTGCGGTGCCCCCTGGCGACTCCGCTTCGCAGCACAAAGGATCCCAGCACGTGGGTGCCAGAGTAGCGACCTCCAAACGAGGCTGCATCCACCTGAATCTACGGTCGGTCGGTAYTCGGTCTTTGCCTCCTGCCCTTCACTCGCCCCTCCCAGGCGTCTCGTTCATCAAGCCTCCCCCCCACCCACACCATTCCGCGGATCATGTTCCCCCTTGGCCTGGAAGGTCCCTGGGCGCCCCACCCGCGGACTCTGCTATGTCTGCCGTTCCTGCTCTTTCTGCTTCTGCTGCCTCCGCAGCCATTAACCCACTCCCAGACCACACTGGGCACCCCCAACGCCTCAACCGCCTCGGGCACTCCTAGTGCCCCAACCCCTCCAGGCACCCCTGTCTCTCCACCCACACCCGGCACCCCCAGTGTCCTGGGCCTACGAGAGCGCGCTAGGACCCTGATGAGTGACTTCCGGCTTGTGGATGGGTATGTAGGCGACTTCCTGGGAAAGACTAGGGGCTGAGCACACCCCTAGGCAGGGTAGGTTCTGAGCATGCAGGGCTAGGGAGCAGTCCCTCTCACACCACCCCTGGAGGGTCTCTCAGCCTTTCGCCATTGGGGTGGGTGTCCTCTACCCTATTACCCCATTACTCTCTCCAGTCAGACCTCAGGGGTCTCCATATTGTATGTGTGATGGAGCTTGGGGGTGGTGAGGGAGGGTAGGCACAAGCATGTTGCTATGTCCTGCTTGACCAGGAGGCCATGTCCCCATTCTGATCTCCTTTTTTTAAAAAATTAATTAATTAATATATTTTTTTAGTTGTAGTTGGACACATTACCCTTATTCATTTATTTTTATGTGGTACTGAGGATGGAACCCAGGGCCTCCCACATTCTTGGGGAGCACTCTACCACTGAGCCACAACCCCAGCCCCATTCTGATCTCCTTTTTTTAAAAAATTAATTAATTAATATATTTTTTTAGTTGTAGTTGGACACATTACCCTTATTCATTTATTTTTATGTGGTACTGAGGATGGAACCCAGGGCCTCCCACATTCTTGGGGAGCACTCTACCACTGAGCCACAACCCCAGCCCCATTCTGATCTCCTTTTGACCCTACCAGCCACAATGACCTACCTCTGCTCCTGAGACAGCTTTTCCAGAACAGGCTGCAAGATGTGAATCTGCGCAATTTCAGCCGTGGCCAGACCAGCCTGGACAGGCTTAGAGAAGGCTTTGTGGGTGCTCAGGTACCATATGGACACACACACAGTACCAGCATGGATGCTGGAGAATGTTGGGATTAGAGAAACTTGGGGGTGGGGGCAGGTTTTGGGTGACTAGGTACATAGGCATGCAGTGAGCCATAAGGTGAATGTTAGAGAGTGTAGAGGCCAAGACAGATAAGCTGCATGGGTGCCCGGATTCTTTGGAGATAGGTTGGAAATGACCAGAAAATCTCTGGTGAGTGTGGGGATTGCTGGAACCATAAGGATAGGTAGATTGACCTGGGACATTTAC